GTTTATTGTATGTTAATAATACCTCAATAAAGCTGTTAAAAAACTAAATAAATAAATGAAAAGATTAGGATGCTACAAAACAAAAGAATAATTAATAACTAAGAAAAAAACTCCTGGAAAACAAAAAAGGTGAAAGTAGAAATAAAATTCAATAAAAACTGGAAGATAAAGTTGAAGACATTTTCTAGAGGGTAGAAAAAAATAAAAAGACAAGGGGAATTAATATAAGGGATAAAAGATTTTTTAAAAATTAAAGGTATAAAAATATATAAAAATAAATAAATAAAAATTAAAGGTGTAACTCAGGGGACCCAACATCTGACCTGTAGGCAATCCAGAAAGATAGAACAGATTAATAACACGAAGGAAATCTAAGAAATACAATAAAATTTCCTAGAATTCAAGGACATGAACTTTCAGAATAAAGAACCCATTACCTGCTCAGCACAATAAATGAAAAAAGACCCATATCAAAACACATCATCATGAAATTTCAGACCACTAGGAGTAAAGAAAAGACCTAAACATTTCCAGAGAGAAAATAAAGGTCACCTACAAAGGACTGCCAACCAAGCAGCATCTAACTTCTCAGTAACAACGCAAGAAGCCTAGATATGTTCAAAGTCTTCAACATCTGAAAGATATTATTTTCAAACTATATTTAGAGACACCAAATCAAGTTAAAGGTAAAAAAAAGAAATTTTCAGACTTGTACATAGGGTGTCTATCTCCTATGCACTCTTTATCTCAGGAAATTATGAAAGGATGTTAACCACCAAAAAATTCAAGGTAAAGAAGATCAAAGCATTGAGAAATAAAGAAACTAATATAGGAAAGAAACAAAGGAATTCCCATATTATGATTAAGGAATGTCCCAAGATAAAAACTGGGGAAAAGACCTAGAGAGCAGCTAGTCCAATTAGAACAAGAGGATGATAAGCTCTGGAAGGAATATCTGCAAGAAAACATACTGGAACTGATGAATCAATTGACACATTTGAGCATATTAAAAGGGGTTTCATTATATTGTCAGAGAGTTTGAGAAAAGAATTAAGGATGAGTACATAGACACTAAGCAAATGGGAAAAATGAGGCAATGATTAACTCCAAAAAAACCCACTACAAAGTTGACAAGAAAAGAAATGTAATTACACTAATTTTTACATAGTCTTTGTAGCAGTGACTGCTGATTGTCTCTTAATATCCATTCTTGTCTTCTTTCATAGCAATAGAATAATTAGCTGGGCCCAAGGTTGCCAGATAAGGACTACATTTCCCAGATAGATGTGGCAAGGTGACTAAGTGCTGGGTAATGAAATGTGAAAAGTGATACATACAATTTCTTGTTGTACCCTTAAAGGAAATTTTGCTGCTGAACAGAATGCAGACGTGGTGGGTACTTAGCCATTTTTGATTCTGAGAATAAAGAAAATGAGATAAAGGTAACCTGGGTCTCTGACAACTTTGTGAGCATAGCGGCTATACCAGATTATACTTTATCTTTTTAAACCACTGATATTTTGGCTCTTTGTCAAAATCAAACCTACATCATAACTATTACAATTATAACACTGTAAACACTGAATACTGTGCTAAAAACAGACTGCGGTGAGAAAGCTGTAACTATGCTAAATTTTCATTTTACGTTGAAAGAAGTCAACAGATAAAATTTAAAGCTGAAATATCAAGAAAGAACAGTAAGAATATGTAATTAGAAATATAGATATCAATACTAAATGAAATAGCTTAATATAGTTGCCTCTGGTGAGCAGGACTTAGTAAATAAGGAAGGTAGGACAAAAAACTTCTGTTTCCTTCTTAGCCTTATAGCATAGAACTATTGAACTTTAAAAATTATATACATGTATTATTTTGATTAAAATATGTTAATTTTTTTTGAGAGAAAGAGTGAGAGCAGGGAAGGAGGTGGGAGGGGCAGAGGGAGAGAGAGAATTTCAAGCAGGCTCCATGCCCAGCACAACTTGGGGCTCTATCTCATGACCCTGAGATCATGACCTGAGCCAAAATGAAGAGTCAGATACTTAACTTACTGAGCCACCCAGGTGCCCAAAAATATAAGTTAAATTTTAAAATGATCTGTTTTAAACTGTTATAAACTTAGTTTCATATAGAGAATTAGTTGATAGCCTGCTAAACACAAGAATGGGACATACACTAGATGTCTTAGGAGCATGAGTATAGGTAAGAAGTTGATTAGAATATGCAGGCACCAAAAGCAAACTCCCACAGTTAGCCCTGGGTATACTGCTCAAAATCATTTCATTCTAGTGGAATTTGGTCTCAACAAAAAAATAATGAAGACGAATTCATTTTTATTAATATCTAGAAGATTGACATCAACATTTTATTTTTAAAAACAAAAATAGGATTGACAAACCCTACCATCTTACCCGCAAACTATTTAACATCTGAAGAATTCTTCGATTCCATCTCTCTGTCTCAATATTTTGTTCATTCCCTGATGACTCCTGTTTGAATGATTGATAAAATATTTCATTTAAACAAATTTTACCATATGTTTACTATTTGCCAAGCATAGTGTTAGCTGCTACAAGAAACCCAACTATAACACTGGGTCCTGCTAAATAGAGTTTATAGTCTGATGATAGAGAGAATAGGAAACATACAAATATGTATCAATCTTTGCAGGATTATATCTATGCTACCTAGGCAATGAGAGGCTCCAGAGTAGGAGATTTTGCAGTCTGTTTTGGTAATGCATCCAAGAGGATTATGTCCTTACTTTCAAAAGTAAAATCAGCAGTGACTTTTGGTTAGGACTATCCCAGCTCTGGTCAATTTGAACTGAGTTGACAGGAATAAACATAAAGCTATAGAAAAACTGCCTTGTAAAGGCCTTTATGTGAACTTACCTGGTGATAAAGATGGTCTAATTAATAAGTGATGTTTAGCAATCTGTGTACAATTGGATTAGAACCTTTTTGATTTCAAGGGTAACTTGCCCAAAAAAGATCAACCCACTTCCTGTCATATTATCTGAATAGATTCATTCTTTTCAGTCTTTAAAATTTAGCCACCTTCAGAAACACCTCAATATTTAAAAATTGTCAAGTTGAAATCCCTTCACAGGAACTCACTCTAAGTTCTTATCAACTAACACTTTATGAGCTAAGAACAGAACTGGGGATAGGAAGGGTGCTGATGAATCTGACAAAAGAGCAAGTCTACAAAGTGCAGGGGGTGGGGGGGGTAGGGGGGAGGAAGGTGGCACAGAACTGACCTACTTTATAATTTTTCCTAGGCTAGCTCTGACCAAGCAATCATCCTTACCACGGGTACACTGTTTGTCAAGTGTCACTTCACGGGTACCTTTGGAGCCCAGACACTTCCTATCTGTTTTCAATTTCACAGACTCCAAAATGATTTCAGAAAGTTCCAGAATATTCTAGATGATATTTTGAATCACGTGAAACTAAGGGGACTGCAGAGTCCTCATTCCTACCAATTATACTGCCTTCCTGGTCCTGCCGATACAGCTTTCTTTCTTACATTCCAGTGGGAATGACCTGAAAATATGGTCACTTTATCCTGAAGAGTTTTCCAAATCCCTCCAGGTACAATTTACTTTTATTTCTTTCTGGTCTGCCCTGGGATAACTGAGTTCACCCAATTACTGGTGTTTATTATATAGTTAAATACACAAATGCTGTTTTTCAAATATAAAAAGCAGTGGACCAACTCTTTGTTAAGATCCATGAGACTGCAGCTTCACCTATAACTGCACAACTAAACTAACCAGGAAAATGCTCAGAAAAAATAGTCTGTGCGCTTTGCTGAAGCCTGTCTACTTGATCTATCTGGACACCTTACCGCTGAATCCATTGTGTGGAAAGCCCAGTGGATTATTAAAACAGCTGAACTTGTGCTGTGTTGTGGTTTGCTTGACCATGTATGAAAATAACCTGTGTCTACAGAAGCAAAGAGAAAGGTGAAAATGAATCAACCCACTTCTGGCCGAGCTGTTTGGATGTTTCAGGTAAAAAGTTCAGGTATCTATCCTGTCCTAGATTATCTAGAGAATTCAGTCTGTTTTCCACATATGAAAAAGCAATCTAGTAGTCTTGGAACTCATTATAAAGATAATTTATTTAAGAACAAACTAGCATCTGGCACTAATAGCTATTTTGATATTATTCAATAAGAAACTTTTGCTAAAATTCATTACAATCTTAAAAATGCTTTCAGCACTGTGGTACAAAGACTGGAGAAATAAGAACATGATACTTATGGAGCCAGGTGAGTCAGATATTACTTCTGGCTTTGCTACTGAATTGTGTCCCTTTGAGCAGACCACTTTCTTTTTTTGATTTCTAGAAATCTTGGACAGATATAGGCCTTGACCCATATAATGTTTTGGAAAAAAAAAATGCCATGCTTGTTTCTTGTTTTTTCGTTTTCCATTTATAAATAAAGTAAAATTTCAAATGCCCTAAGATGTACCTCTATTATAGCTCTGCTTCTTTAAAGCTGTTGTAAGTTAAAACAGTGATTCTCAATATTTTTAATGTATGACTACCTTTGATAACATAAAAATCTCACAATTTTCTTTCAAATTATTTGAAGTTTCAAAATAAGTTAAAGAAAGGAAAAAGGTCAAAGCAATTCTGAGTATGTTTTATCAAACTACTGACATACCTCTTTGTTGAGATGACTAATTTAAATAATAATTCTAGACAGTAACATGACAGCTCTAAAACCAATTTTTAGGCAAATAAGGTGGTAACTATTTAGGAATAAAGTTTTTTGTTTTTGTTTTTTTGAAGATTTTATTTATTCATTAGAGAGAGAGAGTGCACAAGCAAGGGAAGCAGCAGGCAGAGGGAGAAGGAGAAGCAGGGCTCGATCCAGGACCCTGGGATCATGACCTTAGCCGAAGGCACATGGTTAACTGACTGAGCCACCCAGGCGCCCCAGGAACAAAGTTTTTAGGAACATTCTCAAGACTATGCATATATTTACCAACTCCACTGTACAATTCTCAATTTCTTGTGCTAAGATCGCATTCATTAAAGAGGATTCCTCAGTAGCTGAAGATACCATTTCAACAATATCCTGCTAAAGCAAATGAGGGAAAGATAGGTAAGTCATCACAGTAGTAGTAATCACAGGAACAATTTTATTTTGTTAATGAATGCTCATTTCTAAAACTAATTTAAAATACTACCTGCATTCACAAAATATTATTTCTGAAATATCCTAGATAGGCTGCCCTGTTTTCCATACGCCTCCACAAATGAAGAACCGGCACATCCCTGTCCTCTTTGCTGCCCATCCTTTCCACTCCTACCTCCTTCACCACTGCAGACCTCATATCAAACACCTTCATAGCTGTGTGGCTAAGACCACTTTCCTTTGAGGCATTTTGTCTAGCCCCAGCCCCTACCTCTATCCTCACACCAGTACCAGGTGGCAGAGAAAGGAGAACTATAAACAGAGGGCTGAAAATGGGGGAAGGGATATTAATATCCCTACCTTGGGCCATGGCAAGATTCTTGCCACCACTGCTGGAGCTGTCACTGGCAAAAGGGGAGAAAAACTGTGTCCTCTGGAAGGGGAGCAAAGGCATACAGGAAGAAGGAATAAGAGAAAGCCAGAAATTCTCCATTCCTTATCATCTCCTTTTTTCATTGCTATAGAAACAGTCGGCCCCTTTTTCATCTTTAACCAGTCTTCAAGTTAGGAGCCTCCTACAACAAAGGGTACTTGATTTTTCATTTCAGCTTTTAAAATTTTTAGTGAATATAAGGATTTGCATTTTATTTTATTTTATTTTTTTTAAAGATTTTATTTATTTATTTAATCGAGAGAGAGAGAGAGAGACAGCGAGAGAGGGAACACCAGCAGGGGGAGTGGGAGAGGGAGGAGCGGGCTTCCCGCCGAGCAGGGAGCCCGATGCGGGGCTCTATCCCAGGACCCTGGTATCATGACCTGAGCCGAAGGCAGACGCTTAATCGACTGAGCCACCCAGGCGCCCCGCATTTTATTTTTTAATTTACATGTTTGTGGAGACTTATTTTTTTTCTCTCTTAATTTCTATGAATATTCTACATTTTAGGTACTCTCAATTTTGCAGTTACTTTACATAAAAAATGTTTTATGAAAATTTGAAAATGATTAATCAGAATCAATATTTTTCTGTTCTGTCGATGTGTTCCCATTCCTGATTATATTTCACATCTGTTCACTATTTTTGGAAGCAGAATAAGAATGGAATTGAAAATTAAAGCATAAGTATAGAGTAAAGGAGTTAAGAGGGTCAAGAGAACTCCTATATCAATCTCTATACTTCAAGCACTTGGGAAAATCTGTTTTGTTACTATGTTAAAAAATTATGAACTAAACAAACCTGCCTGATCACAATTTTCAGTAGGTGCACTCTAAGAAATGCCTGAGCCCAAATAAGGAAGACAGTATACTGGCAACCCAATATCTCAATATCTAGTATACTATCAAATATTTAGTAAAATACATTGTTTTAATGCATTATAAAATTGTCTTTCCTTGCAAGGGCATTCAGTTCCAATATGGATTGACTTTTTTTTTTTTTTAAGTTTTTTTTTATTTTTTTGAGAGAGAGACTGAGATAGAGAGAGCATGAGAGGGGGGAGGGTCAGAGGGAGAAGCAGACTCCCTGCCGAGCAGGGAGCCCGATGCCGGGCTCGATCCCAGGACTCCAGGATCATGACCTGAGCCGAAGGCAGTCGCTTAACCAACTGAGCCACCCAGGCGCCCTGGATTGACTTTGAATTTCCTGAGTGGTTATCAAAATACAGTGATGATGGAACAAACCAGAAAAGCACTAGTTTATTTTTATCTGGTTTGGCTATAATATTTGTATTTGTACAACCACTAAAGTGACAATGGGGAATATATTTTAAAGCACATCGTTTCCAATGATGCTTTTAAATAACTATGTTTTTTTGAATAAAAATTACAGCTTCAAATAAAATTTTTTAAAAATTTTGTTTGGTCATGGATTTTAGATAGTCTTTTGGATTCAAGGTTAAGGTAATTATAGGTCTAAAACATAGTCTTAGAGGCGAGAAGAGTGAATTTATGATCAGAAACAAAACATAGGTGCACTGTCTAGAGTCCTAAAAAATTCTATGATATTGAATGTGGGGCCCAGTAGGATTCTCAGGATATAATTGGATTCAAGTACACTCATCTATTTGATGTACCATGCAAAATGTTACAGTATGAAACTACTTATCTTGTAATTTACTATCCAAGCTTCAGAAAATACTGTTCTGTGGATGAAAATCACGCTTTACATAGTACTGCCACTTACTAAACAAATTACAGAATAAGATGAAATATAAACTATAAATGTAAGAAGACATATCAGAGTCTCAAGTTTTCTTCACTCTGTGTCAGAAAAATAATATTTTTATGATTTTCTTTGATTAACTTACCTCAGAATTAATATTTTTATTGATATCCTCATGAGAGCTATACTTAGATCCATCGATCACATCTTTCCAAGTTTTGGATTGATTTAAGTCTTGCTGGGAATTTAGTTCTTCCATCACGGAGGTCTCTGAATTATTATGGAAATAAAGATTTCACCAAAATATCTTTCAAACTTAAATTGGAATATGGTTGTTAAAAAAGAAAGCTTCTGACAGAAAACTTGGAATCCAAGAATTTAAGCAAAGGGTGTACAAATTTTCTTATAGTTTCCCAAGATCATGTATATTTATCTTCTCTTTCCCCTTGTCTGCTTCTTACCACCTCCACTCCCCATCCTCCATGAACTATCTCCCCCACACTCACTCCAACACATGCACTCACAAGACAACATGGATAGTTCAAGCCCATCTTGGTGTATGGTTCAGTAGATTTTATGCCTTCAGGACAGGTGATCAGGAAGCAGAGATTCATTTACTACCAAAGCTGGTTTTATTATTCCTTTATAATAGTCACAATAATAATCAGTAATTATTAATACTCCATGTATCCTCTAGGCGGATGGAAATATCTATGTCTCAGGTTAATTGTATGGTTTAAATGCTATTCTTATCACTAGGTGACTTTTCATGTTAGCTGTCTTAAAGTGAAACATTACCCTCCTAGATAAAAATAGTTTTATCTGTTGAAGGTTTAGAGTACTGCCTGTAGGGATGGGGGAGATAGGAGGAGTGAGATTAGGAAGAATCCACATAGTATATATACCTCATCTTTTTAATGTAGCTTGTTGGACAAAAATTAATCTGCAGGCAATGCTGATGTAACAATTTCTTTTAAGTTGAAATACTCTTCTAGAGATAGCATTTATACATGGGAATATGGAACTGGATCCCATTTTCATTTGAAATGTAAAATGACATTTTTGTTTCTATAACATTCCCTTCAACACCAACAGTTAGGATGTCTCACCTGTTATGTTTTTGCTTTCCACTTCTTCCCTTACTGATTCCTTCTGTACCAATTTTCTTCCAAGTTTAAAGCCAGAGGACAGAAAGCATTTTGTAAACAACTGTAAAAACATACATTTTTATTTCTTGTTTTTGTACAAGTAAAACAATTCAATAAAATACAACCACATGTGCTAAAAAATGAAAACTATAACTCATGCACACACATCAAGCAAATTAATTCAAAAGTAAGGGGTATTTTTTACAAGTTTATATTCTGTTGTATACATGAATGTAAATATGCATTTATTTATTTATAACCAAACACTGCACCTACATAAAAAGATGAAAACTATTACCATTTTCAGTTCAGCATGAGTCAAATCCTGGGCAGCAGTTGACAGAAGTGTGTCCACTCCTCCCTTCTTCTTCCACATCATCAATCTTTGGGTAGGAGGTGCAAGTTCCAAAACCATAAGTGTGTCCGTAAAGGAAGTAAGTTGTTTATGCATAATTTTGCTACTGATCTCCTTGATTGGATCTATGAGCAATTTCCTCTTTTTGCCTTTTCTCTTCTCAGCAATGTCTAAATATAAGAAATAGGCACAAATGTGATTGGTTGTACAGCTTTGTAAAATGATATTCTAGGCACTACATATCTAAGAAACATCTACCACAGTGTAACCTACAGAGTTGCCATGGGAAGAAAATCCCTTTCTCTCTACTGAAAAATTATGCTTCACAGGGTTTTTGCACAGCTAAAGTATCTGAGTAGCCAACAGTTGATGCATTTTGTAAAGTGTTCCTTCCAAGTGCTTAGGAGGGACTCTGTTGACCTAGCAGGAAGACAACTGAGGAAATTTGGAGCAGAGGATATAATGAGGGAAGTTGCTCAATTTTGAAATTCCCTAAAATATCCATATAATAGGATATTTTGAAACATTAATTTGTATTTGGCCAGTATATTTTTCCCTCCTCCACTGAAATTCATACACAAATTCCAAGTAGGTAGCTAGGCCCATGGGATTTCACTCCTTTAGATAATTTTACCAGGTAGAAAGAAAGCAGAAGTTACGCTTTTCCTTAGTAAAGATGCAAAAAGGGAAGATTAGATTTCCCAGAATGGGTGAAGATCTGAGATCAGATGGAGCCAGATGGAAAAGTAACCTGCCTGCTAATGTGCCTTAGTAAAATCCTGGGAACGTGACAAGTTCCCAGAAGGGCTGCTGTGTGATGACCCCAGAGGCTATATAGACTGGGACAGTGGGTACCACAAATTGTTGTGGCTGATGACCTAAGTTTCCTTTCCACCTGCCACACCACTCCCCCAAATTTTGACACTACATGGCTTAGGGCACACAGGAGAACTGTACAGATTGAAATTTTTGCCAACCCAGTGAGATAGAAGCTCAGAGTTGCATACAGTAAAGAAAAAAACTTGAATGCTTTATTCCTTGCATGCCTGAGTTTATAACTGAAATTCATATCAATTATACCACTTAAAACTATGATGTCCTTACAAGGTCAGGTTATATATTAGATTCATATTTATCTTTTATTCCTAAAAATATGCATGAGGTTAAATGTTAGAGGGCGTAGGCCTCTCTTCTGATCCTTTTATTCTGCCTTATTTTATATTCATTTGCATGTTTATCTATCTTCCCAATCAGATTGTAAGCCTCTTAAAAGCAGGGACTATGTCTTCTTCATTTCTCGGCCCAACAGAGAGTAATGGTTCTGTAACTACTGGCATTGAACTCAGTTTTAGATTTTCCAGTTTCCCAAACTGGGTATATGGCTTGACCATGACTGACAATAATGAAAGGATCACCTCAAATTTCCTCCACACTCTTTCCCTATCATATTGCAAATGTTATTACTGGGTTGACTACCTCCGATAATATTTCACAGATTATCTCACAGTAAATAAGATAGTGTATCAGAAATAAAAACAAAGGGGGGCCTGGGTGGCTTAGTCGATTAAGCAGCCAACTCTCTTGATTTCGGCTCAGGTCATGATCTCAGCATTGTGAGATCGAGCCCTGTATCAGGCTCCACACTCAGTGGGGAGTCTGCTTGTGGATTCTCTCTCTCCCTCTCCCTTTGCCCCTCCCCCCTCAAATAAATAAATCTTTAAAAAAATTTTAAAAATAAAAAATAAAAACAAAAACATGAATGAGTCTGACCTGCAGCATCAATTGGGTCAAGGGTAAATCCTTGTTCTTCATCTGATAATGTTTCATCCATTTTTCCATTTTCAGGTAGACATATATACTCTGGATTATCTGGTTCCACTAATAACATCACCATAAAAGGAATTATTAAAAAAATAATGGTTATGTTATAAGTTAGATGCTTGTATGAGAACGAAAGCAAAAGATAATGATAATTGAAGATTTATATTGCTAACTGGAGCCAAATCTGATTTTTAGAATCATGTACTTAATGGAGTTGAAGAGACACAGAGATTATATGGTCTGGGGCCCAGTGTCTAGGTGAGTCAAGTAACATCACCTTCTTCTGCACATGTAACATCTAAGGTTAGACTTAGTAGAAACAGTGGTAGCAACCACAATAAATGACCGACATAAATTTGATTATATGTCTGCTAAAAAACTTGTATTCTGTTAAATCATTTAATTATTAGTTGACCCATAAAGAACCATAAGTAAATTTATATCGCCTCTCTTTTTACATTTTAAATTTCTACTATGTGTTAGGAGGGAAATGTAACATCAAAAGAGTGAAGAATCAAAATGGGTTTATTCATGGTTTTAATTCTCAGGAAAAATCAGACAGAAAGACTTTAAATAATCTGAGGTACCTTCACATGAATTTCAAGTAGAAAATATCCCCACATCTGTAATTTTTCTCAAATTGTATATAGATTGTCCAATTATATTAATGCCAATATGGTATTAATATTAATAATTAACAATATTAATAATTAATAACCATATTAAGACAAACATTAATGATGTTTTGAACATGTAGCACATATTACTTTAATGATTCAAAAGCATAGTATTCTTGCAGTGTTTAAACATGCTCTCATACCAAAAAAACCCAATCCTGGTTAAATAACATTGTTGTACATTTCTTGGAGCCTAGTTTCCTATTCCATATTGTCTAGGGTCAGACTCAAGAGAGTTTGAGGGACAACATTCTTTACTATCATTCACTATACTATATTGCTACCTAAACTGTGCAGTTACAAGGCTTAATTTGAATATTAGTATCTGTTCACTTTCTACACAAAGGATAATTTCATCATACCCACTATAGTATCAGGAGGCTCAGGAGGCAGAGAAATTTCTCTGCTCAAATGCACATCTTCTAACAGGATATTTTGATCATCTTGCAGTAGATTGTCTTAAAAAACACAATAAATACTTGTGTCATACAGAGTTGACTCTGTCATTTGTTCACTAAATATTTATTGACATTATTGTATACAGGATTATAAAGTACAACCCTACTTAAGTAGATTTGATTTGTTACATAGACTATCATATTTCAAGCAGGATAATATAAAAATTTATATATATCATTTCCTTTCCTTTATTAAATAGATGTTTAATTTCAGGAGATATTTACTAAACTAATACCAAGATAGTAACCTTATTACACAGCCATGTTTAGATTTCAAATCAAGAAGTAAAAGCTTTCAAAATTCTTTGGTAGAGATTTAAGGTAGAACCACTGTTTTTTCAAAATTTTGAAATTTCAAAAAGTTTGCCATAGCCAGCCTTTTAAAGTAAACTAGAGAATTAAAAAAACATTTGTTACTTAGCCATCAATATCTTTAAAATGTGTATTTAGATTTCCTAGTTTTTGTCTACCCTATTTCTATGATTATTTTATAATAACATCATAATATAAATATAAAATTATAATATAAAATGTTGGACAGATCCTTTAGAATAGCTGTTTCACAATTTCTGTTAAGGAAAACAATGTTTTCTAATATATGATCTAATATATTTTGTGAGGAATATATTAACTCCACTCCTTCCCCTTTAAAAATTAGGAATTTGTAAAAATAAAAACAAGTAGTATTTTATAACCTATATGAAAAATGTGTTTAAATAGATGGCTATTCACTTAGACCTAGCCTAAATGTTTAAATACACAATAGATTTTGAAAACTTGTGTAAAAAATATATTGATTTATATGACACAGGGGCATACCTGAAATTTTAGTTTGATTTAATAAACCTATTAATACATTCTAGTATGATTGAAATATCCAATTTCCATATAACCAGACAGCATACCAATCATCTCTCCTGCAGCCCCTTCATCTCCAAATCCATCTCCACTGTCACAGAACAGAGATTTTTCTCCGGCAAGGCTTCCAGAACTATGTTCAACTAAAGGACCACTGGAATTCAGCAATATGTTGTCATCAAAGAGGCTATGTCTTCTGAGAATTTCTGATTCCTCCCCTAAATAAATATATATCATTAATACTGAGTTAGCCATAGAAACATAGAGTTTTAGGGTTAGATGGAAATTCAGATATCTTTTTGTGTAGCCCCTCCCATTTTACAGATAAGAAAAATGAGAGCTAAAAAACTTATTTGAATTGTTCAACTAATGTCACTCAGTTAATCAGTGGAGACTGGATTTCTAAAGCAATAGGAAAATACATTAGGATAGAGTTTTTAGTTGTAGTTCAGTTGAATAATTTCCCAGAGGATAATTATTGGCAGTGGAATGATTTCTCTACATTATATAGGTCATGTCCTGCTTGATAAGCATTATTTCATATTATTTCAAGTACAATTGCTTGTGTTGTTTATCCATAATGGAGGTTTGGAAAATAAGAAGCATATCTGTCTTCTTAGGAATGGAAAGGTAGTTAAAATATTAAAGAATGGGCTTATAACACTCATTCAATAAACATTTATTGAATGACTGTGTATTAGGCAATCTGCTAGGTGTTGGAGATACGGCAGTCAAAAAGACAAAACCCGGTCAGCTAACATTAACCGAGGCTAACATTAACCGAGTACTTATTATGTGCATTATATTATGTAACAGAAGATACTATTATAATCCTTATTGTACAGACAAGGAAACATGTCCATAGAAAGGTTTTATAATTTGCACACAGGCATACCCTAATAAATGACAAAGCCAGGATCTGAACCTAGCAGAGACAGGACAGTATCTGTTAGAATTTCACTGGTAAAATATTTTGCAAAATGGCAACTTATGAGAGCAAACTCCTAAGACTCCACAGCAGCAGATAAAATGAATGCCCTGCTTCAAACTGACTTGCTTCCAGATTGGCCATCAGCACATGTATATTCTTTGCCTTTCTTGGGTTTCAGTCTCTAGGTCCAGGAGTCTGAAACCAGCGGTCAGACAGAAGTTGGTCTTCTCTTCCCTCTCTTTAACAACCCATGTTAATTAGTGTTAGTCAGTAAAGAAAATAATGAAGTATCACTTATATTAAGATTCTTCTATAGGCCTACATCTCCTAGAAAGGAAGAGTTGAAAAAGGCAACCTTCATTGCACTGGATTAAAGATTTGCTCAATAGAAGACTGACTTAAAAACAAACAAACAAACCAAACCCCCTTCCCCAAACCAAAAATATGTTCACATCTTCCAGAAGCAGCTTGAAAGCTCCCAAAAGAAAAACCAGACTTGGCCAATAAGATAATAACATTTATGAGCAGACACGATTATGAGCACTAGCATCACGATACCAAGATTACTCAAAAAAATTTAAAAAATAATCATTGCTTTCAATCTTATATTGTAGTTCGGAATAGTATAAATATTAAACATTTCTCAGAAAACATGATGTTTGAGCTAGTTTTTGAAGGAGAGAAAAATCACTTATTGGTGAAAAGGACTGAAAGGGAAATAACACTCTGATGATGCTAGTAGTAACTCAATTTTACAAAAAGGGTAGTAAGGCTCAGGGAAGCTAGGTCATTTGCCCAGTATCACATAGCAAGGCCATAGAGAAAGCTGATTCAAATTCAGGTCTGTTGGTATACTAAGAACATGTTCTTCCCCTTTTTTGAATCGTAGGAGACACAGACTGAGAACAGCTAAATTGTATTGGTTGGCTGGTAAGACATTTAGAGCAAAACTCTGTAGTGAGAATAAAACAAAGTTGATAAAACAAAGAAGATGATAAACTGGTATAGGGCCTTGAGGATAGCGAGGGGTGTCTAAAGTAAGTCACAGGAATCCAAAATACTTAAGTAGAGGAACGTGATATGAAAAAAAAAATGGAATTTAAGGACAATTGTTCTTGCAGAGATATATAAAACATGGGAAGAGACTGGGAAATGTGTAGGAGGGTATTCTAGTACTCCAGGCCTTTAGTACCTTTGAACTATATATATATATATATATATACACACATATATATACATATATACATACACACACACACATACACACACACTTTTTTTTTTAAGTAGACTCCATGCCCAGCGTGGAGCTCAATGTGGGACTTGAACTCATGACCCTGAGATCAACCTGAGCTGAGGTCAAGAGTCGGACACTTCATCAACTGAGCCATGCAGGCACCCCACTACTGGTAAACTATACAGGTGGCTAGGGAAATAGAAAGAAGACCTAAAAGGCATTTCCAATTTTTTGTTGTTGTTGTAAATCAGCACTGGTATGAAGCTTACAGAAAGTGTAGATAAAAGTGATCCTAGTGGGGCACCTGGGTGGCTCAGTCGGTTAAGCATCCGACTCTTGATTTTGGTCACGATCTCGGGGTTGTGGGATCAAGCCCCACATGGGGCTCCACGTTGAGCGCAGAGTCTGCTTGAGTTTCTTTCCACCTCCCCCCTCCTCCCCCTCTGCTCCTCACCTTCCCACCTATAGGAGTCAAAGATGAATATGACACAAGATCTTATCACCTTGGAGTTCTCAGACCAACACAGGATGTATATAGTATCATGGTACAAGACAGAGGTAAATGCCATAAAAAGAACAAATACTATATGGCTTTAATTCTAAAATACACTCAACAGTTTCTGTTTCACAATCAATGAGTACGTACTTAGCATGTGGTATTTCCTCCTCAGTCCCAAGCCATGTTAAAATCTATTTTTTTTACAATTGGTATCATCATATACTGGAGGAATCACCATATTTTGAAGGCACACTCTATGCCGCACACATGTAAAACCTTATAAATATGTTACCACAGCAAATGTTTATTTTCACGTCTCTCTCACAGCCTGAAGCTCCTTCAGGAAATGCTTCTGCAAATTTTGTACTGCCTATGCCTGTGATAGTACCTACGTAGAGTAAGTATTCAATAAATGCTTGTACACTAAGAAGGGAAGTTCATAGCCTAAGACTGAGTCTTGGCATCAACACCTCTTCAGAAAAAGGTAAGGGCAAACTTACTGAGAGTTGCATTTACACAACAAGAGACTCATTCTAAAGATATTTCTACTGGCGTAGAGATAGCTATTTCTATTGACATTGTCTCAGTACAAAAATGCAAGTACAATTGATTATAGCTTGTAATTTTAATTTCTCAAATATTCTCACCAAAGCTTCCAGCTTGGAAAAGTAGATCATTACCATAATCTTCTCTAAGTGTGATTTCCTCTGGTCTGCTTCGGTTCTGAGTAAAGTGTTCTGAAACGTTAATAGCACTATGGAGAAACAGAAGATTGAGAAAAACATGGGAACAGAACCCAAGGATTTTGCAGTGTACTGAAAAAAACCCCAAAACCCCTAAAACAAAAAACAAGTTTTATTATAAAAATACTTTTATTTCCTCAATAGTATTATTTACAAACACTAGTTTATTGTACATGCATATATACAAATGATCTCCAGGTTGCCAAATCCAGTGGTCAATTCTCAGTCATTATCTTACTTACCCTAACCAACCGCATTTGAAACAGATGTTCACTCCCTCATGGAACAGTCTTCTCTTGGCCTACTTTCTCCTGATCTTTTTCCTACCTCATTGGCTGCTCTTTTTCCATCTCCTTTATTAGTTCTACCTCATCAGACTATTAGCTACTAGGAATGACCCAACACTCTGTTCTCAGATCTCTCTCTTTTTAAAAAATTGAACACACATTCCCTGGAGGTCTCTTATGACTCATGGGTGAAGTTCCAACTATATACTCACAACTTTCAAATTTATATATCCCAATCCACACCGCTTTCCTGAATTTCAGACAAAGATATTCGACTACCTGCCTACTCCCCTTGGATGTACAACAATCATCTCAAAATTTGTAAAATTTGTAAAGCCTAATTTAGCCTTTACCCTGCCCCTCTTAAACCTGCCATTCCCTAGTTATCCTCATCTCATTAGGTGGTTAACTCCATTCTCATGCTCAAATCATATAGTCATCTTTCTTTCCCTTAAAGCCATATCCAATTCTTCAGGAAATCCTGTTGGCTCTGTCTTCAAAATATATTAATAATTTGAGTGTTACCACCTTGATAACATGAAGACTGAGAAGTGAAGTGATCACAGACACTATCATTTCTCCCTTGGACTTCCTTTTTTTTTTTTGGCGGGGATAGTACCATTTATTAAGGAAGAACAAGACAAAGACCACAGGAGGGTCCCTTCTAGGACACAGCGGCCAGGCATCCTGACCCCACATCTGTGGGAAGGGCATGTACCCCCAGTTGGGCTCTCAGGCTCCCACAGACAGGCAGGATTGTCATGTCCCCTTCCTGCCCATCCCAGTCATGAGTCCTGGCATCCCCCACCCAAGGCACTAACTCTTTTCAACCACCAATACCCTCCTCCCATGTCCCCTGGGCCTTCACTTTCAGATCAATGGGGGTTGGGGATATGGCCTGGTGTGGGCGGGGAGACACTCTCAGTGCTGGGATCTACCCAGCTTCTGGTAAGAGTTGGGGTGGAATTTCCCTTGCAGCCCCTGGGGGTAGGGGCCCCGGGCTAGGTGTTGGGGTGGGGAGGGTCATCTGGACTTCTTACTGAAATAATCTTTTTTTTTTTTTTAAAGATTTTATTTATTTATTTGAGAGAAAGAGAGTACACAGAGGGAGAGTGAGAAGCAGACTCCCCGCTGAGCAGAGAGCCCGACGCGGGACTTGATCCCAGGACCCTGAGATCATGACCTGAGCCGAAGGCAGACGCTTAACCGACTGAGCCACCCAGGCGTCCTGAAACAGTCTTCTCATAGGCTCTCTGTTTCCTCCCTTTCCCCCTTATAGTAGGTAGCCTGAGGAAGCATGTTGATATCAAGTCAGATCCAGTCACTCTCCTATGCTTCCTATCAGAGTAAAACAAAAGTCCTTAATGTGGCCTACAACACCCTACATCATTTGCACCCCCAGCTACCTCTCTGACCTAATCTCCTACCACTCAGATGCTCATTTATAGCACTCCCCCATCTCACTTGCCTCCCTGCTGTCCCCTGAAAATGTCCAACATGTTCTGCCTTAGGGCCTTCCCACTTGCTCTACCTGGAACATTCTTCCCCACATTACTGAATGATTTGTTTCTATACCTCCTTCAGGTTTCAGTTCTGACCTTAAAAAAAAAAGGCCTTTCCTGACCATCCTGTCATTTATTTACATTATTTTCTATTTCTTTTCATACCGCTGATCATTTCCTGTCATACTGTATATTTATTTATTTGTTTATTATTTGTCTAAAATGTAAGATTCATGCAGACAGGAGCTGTTGTTTACTGCTACCTCCTTAGTGCTTAGAGCAGTGCCTGGCATGTGGAAGGCACCCATTAAATATTTACTGAATGAATGGATGAACATACTGTCAATATTGCAAACTACATTCAGCAAATAAAATTATACATTTTTGGCATTGTATTTCAAAATTTCACACTGAATTCAAGTCTTCGTCAACTGCATGTGTATTTTAGTTGTTAACTAGATTCAACTTGTGTTCATGAAATACAAAGGTGAAAACAACAAAATATCAAGAAAATCAAATTGAAGGAAAATAAATAAAAAAATTTACTTCACATTCTGGGTGTCAAAATCATGAAATTCTTCTGGCAATGTGATAGCACTGTAAGCAGCTTCAAAATTCTCTTTTGGAAGGTCAACCAGTCCTGAAAAGAATCAAAAACCACATTCAGTGAGCAATAATACTATATAAGTAAGAAACTCCCAACTCCTGCCCTTCTTCAGTCCCTTCTCAACAAACAGCCAGAGTGATATTAAAAATATTTAAAAAGCAACCAGATCAGCTCCCTCCTGTGCTTAAAATGATTTAGTGACTTTCCCAGTGCATTTAAATAAAACCCAAATTTCTAATCAGGGCCTCTGCAGCCCTACAAACCTATCAGCATCATCTTTCCCTCATTCACTAGACTCCAACCATACTGGCCTTTTTGTTCCTCCAGACCTTTGCTCTCACAGTTCCCTCTGCCCGGAATGCTATTCCCTCAGGGATTTTTTACATGGTTGGGTACTTCTCATTCTTCAAGTTTGACCTTAAATTCTATCCTCTCTGAAAGGCTTTTCCCAATCACAGCCTAACTCAAGTAAAGTTTTCTGTTATTTTTTGTTGTAATACTCTGTTTATATTCCTGCATAGTGCAATCGCAATCTATAATTATTGTAATAATTTAAAAAAACTTTTTCATTATCTGATTTCCTCACCAAACTGAAAGGGACCTCATTTGCCTTGTTTATCCTTGTATCCCAGAGCTTAAAACAGTGTTTGGCACAAAATATGGGATCAATAAATATCTGTGGATTATATAAATGAAATAATGAACAAATTAACCATATTTGATTGAGTATAAACTTATGTAGAGATTCTACAAATATTTTATTTTAAATAAAGACAAAAAACCCTGTCAACCTCAATTCAACAATATTAATTGAGGGAATAGTATGTTCAAGGCACTGAGACAAGTACTATAACAGATTCAGAAAATAAATATGACAAAGATGTTGCCTTCAAGGAGCTTACAAACTAGTGTGAGAGGCAAGGTCTGTACCTAAATAACCATAATAAAAGGTAGAAATGATGAATGTCTTTAAATTAAATTTAAAGGCTATATTTATGACGCATGTAAACCTCTAGCACTTTGGAATGCCTAGAGATTTTCTGTAATATTTCATAATAGCATGCTGCTTAGAGTCCTGAGAATTCTGAAAACAATGACAATTATGATATCTGGGTTTTGTCAATTACACTATTTCTAACACATCTCATAAAGGCAAAAACAGATACAGCAAGCTAAGCAATCCATTAAAACTGTTATCAGAATCTCTTACATAAGTGTGGTAGCTTTATGTATATTTTTAATGTAAATATGTAGGAACATTACCAGTTTTTGAAAGTATAACCTTTTCCTGCAAACACAGGAAAAGAGCAAGGGAAAGAATATAATTTGTCCTTAACCATGGAAACTTAGAATCAGTGAAAAGGAAGTTTATATTCACTATACACCCTGGAATTACAGAGCACCACCAATTAAAAGAGACCACCCCAAATAAAAATGCAAAAGGGGACCAAGATAAGTGAGACAAATCAACATTGCAAGTATACCTGGGCGAAATGTCATCTTCATTTTAAGCAATGCTTCACTGCAATCTGCCAAAAGATATTTTGCCTTCCTATCATAGATTCGTACAACTCCCAAAAGAAGGTGTCCTGAAGTTCGAAGTGCAATTTTCACCTTTCAATAATTTTTAAAGTATTAGAATGTTAAGAATTAGACTCATAAACCCTATTTGAAAATTATAAAATCATAGAATTTCTCTTTATAAAGCAAACATTTTGCTTATTCTTACTTAAAGTAAATTACTTAACTTTTACCTCATCTTGTAAAATGATGAACTTTTGTACTTATTCAATGAAGATAATCTCATGTACCATTTAAGTGAAATATGTTATTACTGGTTTCATGAGAAGAATATAAACTCTGCAGTCAGGCAGACTCGGGTTCAAGTCTTGGCTCAGTTACTGAGGCTGTCATTCAACCATCTTGAACTTCAGTTTATTAATAATGGCTATAACTTATTATACACTTATTTTGTGCCAGGCATTGTCTTAAGAGCTCTTCATTTATTATTTAATTTTGACAACATCCTCTTTTTACAGAAAAAAAAAACAAACCCTGAGACTCAGAAATGTTAGGTAGCATGCCCGACGTAACACAACTATTAATGGAGTAGGAATTAAACTTAAATTCGACTAACCCAAAAGTTAATGCTCTTAACTACCACACTTCACTGAGGCTAAAATAAACCCATTTCATAGGGTTGTTGTGAAGATTAAGCCTAGCCCAGTGCCTGACACATAGAAGGTTTTCAATTATCATTCATCCTTCTTTTAAGCAGAAAAATACTTAACCTAAAAAAATACAAAAACAATATTTTAATGCAAATTCTAATATCTTATTATAGTGTCTTATAATGAACATAGTACTTTATGAAGTATTTTCATATATATTTTGATTTATACTCAATCCTCCTTTTTTTCTACTCTCCATATTCATTCGCTCACTATTTTTCTTTTTTTTTTTTTTAAGATTTTATTTGACAGAGAGAGAGAGACAGCGAGAGAGGGAACACAAGCAGGGGGAGTGGGAGAGTGAGAAGCAGGCCTCCTGCAGAGTAGGGAGCC